CACTGCCTGGCTCATGGACTCTGTCTTCTGTGTCCTCACACGGCAGACATGGCAAGAGAATTAATTCTATAACAAATGGTATAAAAATGTGTTAAATGGCATAAAGACAGTGTTTGTGTGTCTGAGAGAGGAAGAGAGATAAAAAACATCTCTATTTTTAGATCTTGTAAAATGCTTTTGTCCCCACTTTTTTGTGTCCCCTCTACTTTTCTCTTTGGAAAAACATTTATATATGTATTGCTTGTATAGGTGAACAACCCAAAAAGCCTTGTTAGAAATCGGAACTCCTGTCTGTAAAAATTTTAAATGAGTTGACTAGAAGTTAAATGACAGGAACATTTTCTAGAAAAACCTCAGCATTCTATTTAAATTTGTGTTGCTGTTATTGTATATTGATCATGGCTTCTTTTACTACTCACACGCAAAAATAATCTGAATCGGAAACCAAAAATCAAGAACTTGTCTATGGACAATACGGGTGTGGTGTTTGGGAAGGTGTTCCATGGGAACTGGTAAAAAGTGAGGTCAAAGCAGTGACAACATGGAGTAAGACAGCTCATCTTATTTCATAGGCTGTTGTGGTAGAAACCAAGGTTTGGCCAACATCTCACTACAAACAAAAATGGCAGCCTGACCACAGTTTGTGCTGGTTGGAGTGCCTGGACCCATTCGACTTCTCAAGATCTGATACCATACTTAAGTTGGTCATTCCTATTTCATAGAATAATGATTGTCAATTTTAAATAGGTAGTGTATCAACATTTCCTTTTTTTTTCCTATTTTTGCCAATTGGATGGGGGAAAAAAACTAAAGAAAAATAGTTACAATAATTTCTATATGAGTTATGCTGGTTTTCTATGGAAAATTGGGTTTTGGTTTGTCAATGGAAATTGCTTTCTCATGAAATTTGCTGCTGAAAAGATTTCAATGTCATTTTATAAACCATTATAACTTACCTGATGGATGATGAGAATTGCAAGCAATTTAATAGACAAAACAGAGTGAGGTTTTTGTTTTTGTTTTTTGTTATTTTGCAGTTTTTGGCCAGGGCTGGGTTTGAACCTGCCACCTCTGGCATATGGGGAAAATTAACCCAAAATGGAGTAAAGGCTTAAATGTTAAGACCTGAAATTATAAAATGCCTAGCTTAAAATATGGAAAAAACTTCCTTGACATTGGTCTTGATTTTTGGGATAATATGCAGAAAGCACAGATAACAAATGCAAAAACCAGACTACAGCAAACAAAAAAGCTTTTGCACAGCAAAGAAAACAACCTACACAAGTCTATTACAAATCCATACCTGTAATGTGGAACATGTGTCTGGGTGACTTTTTATTTGGAGCTTATTTTTAGAAATGACTTTTGCTAGAAAACATTTGCAAACCATATATCTGAAAAAGTGTTAATATCCAAAATGTAAAAGGAACTCATATAAGTCAAGTGCAAAACAAAAACCTGATTAACAAATGGGCAAAGACCTGAATTAGTCATTTCCCCAAAGGAGACATACAGGTAGCCCATAGGTATATGAAAAAACAATCAACGTTGCTAATCATCAGGGAAATGCAATCAAAATCTCTATTGTTAGGATGTAGAAAAAAGGATAATGGGCTCGGCGCCTATGGCTCAACCGGCTAGGGCGCCAGCCACGTACACCTA